GGCACAGGTGAGGTGTGGTCGTGCCAGCCGGGCTCGGGCCGGTGGCTGCAAGAGGCAGGATGAAACATCAATTTACAGGTGAGAAGAGATTTCGGTAGGGATCGTGCCTACAGGTGATTCATTCTTCTCTTTCCCGTGAAGCCACTTTAGGCAGCGCAAGGCTGACCTTTGAAAAGCGTGACCGTAATGTTCAATAAATTCTGCCCTTACAGCTGCACCCTCTTGCTGCCGCTCCCTTTCCTTTGAAGGCGAAGGGATCCGTGGCTTTGCTGAAACTTGCAGCATTGGAGTAGTTGAGGTTGCGGGTGTCAGAGGCCCTGCTGAGGTACGATCAAGTAGTTTTGATGCCCAGCAGCTCTTTTTCAAGTTGATGAGTTTTTTGGACTCCACTTCCAAAGGTTAACTTTTCAACAACAACGTGCAGTCACCCAGTGCCTGCAACCGAAACGGTGTAAGACTGAGGATAAGAGCACAAAGAGTCCTGCTGTAGTTGAGACGTCCGCTGCGTACAGAAAACACTGTAAAAAGGAACCTTGAATATTTCTGCTGGCCACTTAAGGGGTAATTTATTGACAAATATTGAAACAACAAACACAAGCTCCTGCTATTTCCGAATCTGCAGAGCGAAATGGTGGGAAATGAGGAAAATCTCAGGTAGGGGTTGAGTGAGTGTGGCCCCGGGTGCCATGGCCCTGCCCTCAGCACACCCGGGGAGCCCCCACCTGCCCCTCGCTCCCCCCTGCGCCGCCAGCTCGACCTTCCCGACGGGACTTTTCCTCCAGAAACCGAAGCCAACTGAAGAGATCGGAGCAGTTAAAGCACTTCACGTAAATCACAGATTCAGCAAGAAGGAAAAACCATGGGCACTGTGGCGGCAGGAGAGTGTGTGAGGCTGGAGAAGGTCGGCTGTTTCGAGCGGGGTGGTTTTCTTCTGTTATTTGGCTTTATACCAGGACGAACCCCAGTGTCCAGCCCCACACCCAAGCGGAGCAGAAGGGCTGTGGCTCTTCCTGCAGCTCCACCTTCCCGAGGAGAAGCAGAAAAGGTGATGGTTGCGACAGTAGGGCTTCATGGGCATTTACACTCCTTGCTATTTAAGATTAAAATCCCTTTCGTGGTGATCATATACATTTTCCCAAGTAAAATGAAGGGACTTTTTCCTCACCTTATCTTCAAAAGCTGTAGCCAGAACTGTTAATGAATATGCTACTATGCTTATTAGAGTTGCTGTTTGTTTGCATTTAGCTAAAATAAATTTGAAGAAAGGCTCGCCAGATGCTTTCTTAAAAACAGTGGTAGAAAAAAACCCACTTGAGCAGGGGTGTTTTGGAAAGAATTTCATTTGCATGCCTTCATTTATTTTCATTTCCAGCTTGCTTTTACAAATGTTGAAAACCACAGAGAAATCTGACTTTGCTAGGGCTCCTTCTCCAACAAGCAATGCTGAGTGGTACCTAATACTCAAGGCTTTACATGTCGCCATGAGAGCTATTTATAAACCACAATAAACACTGCATTTGTAAGGAACGCTCGAGCTCTTCCAGAGCAGACACCACTCACTACCTGAACGCAGAGTTTGGAAGTGCTTCTTCAGTACCCGTGGTGCAAACTTGGAGTAACTGCTTGGAAATATCAGGAAAAAGCCTTTGGAACACGTGTGCTCGTATCGTATCGTATCCTATCATACTGTATCCTACCCTATCCTATCCTACCCTATCCTATCCTATTTTGGCAAGAGGTGACGGTGGCCGTGCCACCTGCACCGCTGTGTGTTCCAGAGGCTGCTGATTCTTTCCTTCTGTGGCCAGGGAGATGGGGGAGGCAGCGGCAGCAGGGGGCTTCATCCCCCCAACAGGGCAAAGCCAGGGCACCCATCCCTCTCGGGCGAGCAGGCAGCCTCGCAGACGCCGTGCTCAGAAGACGATCGGAAAGTCAGGAGCATACATTACACCTGCCTCCTGGCCACCGCGGCATATGCTGGTGGGTCTTCTGTGACTGCTAACCTCGGGCAAAACTGACCTGGCAGCCAGGACCGGCTGCGGCCCCTCGACTCGTCCCCCAGCCACCTGCAGAGCAGTGCCAAGAGGGAAACCGGCGTGTCAGCCTTCCCGGGCAGGGGGAAAGAGACGTTTTGTGAGTGGGTGTTAGGGAAAGAGATGGGAAACAACGGCGACAGAGACAAGAGCTGGTCCTGCCTGACGGTGATGGCTGATGACTTGCTAGTGCCCAGACACGGAGCTGCCTGTGAGATCTATCAAGCTGCTAGGTCAGCACATATTTAAGGGAAAAGACTAAACTGAGGTGTCGTTTGGTAGAGAGGGCTATTTTGGGTGAAATGTGAGCAGCACTATGATGCGGTTCAGCCACGCGGGGTAGTGGCTTGGGGCAGGACCTGCAAACCCGGGGAGCCTCAGCAGCCCCTCGGCAGCCTGGGCACAGGCGCCCCGGGAAGAGGAGCCGGGACCCTGGGAAGGGGGGCAGACCCACCCCGGGGTGTCTGTAGGGGTTTTGGGGCTGCAGATCACAGCACCAGGCTGCGAGGACGTGGGACGGGGCCCACGGCACCCTCCAGCCAGCACAGAGGGCGTGTTTCTTGCTCACAGAGACACTTACTGCAAAACAGCTTTTTACAGGAGCCACAAGGCTGGGTTAAAACTCCAGAGACTGCTGGACTGCCCTTCAGAGAGGATTTTTTTTTCTAAACTGTTGTCATCTTGGTGTTTGAGCCCCTAGAATCGCTGCTGGCCATGCCCGCGGTGGAGCAGAGCCCCGAGCACATGTCCTCCCACGCCTGGTGAGCACCGTGCTCAGGAGGGCACCATGACCTGCCCCTGCCCCTGCCAGACTCCCCCCAAAAGCACCAGCAACCTGAGGAGGGGGCAGAGACCCCTGTTCTGCCCTGCAGCGGAGCTTACTGGTGGGGAAAACCCACTGCACACAACTGTCAACTGTGAAGGGAGAAGCAAAACCGTAATGCACAGCAAGAATAGCAGTCTGTATGGGGGGGCAGGAAGGCAGCTTTGAAAATGAAAAATATTCATTTAACAAGAAGTAAAGAGCTCCAGATTCCGCTGCTGGCTATAATTGTGCAGCCTCGCTGAATTCGCCGAGGTTGCAAGGGTTAAGGAAGAGCAGAATTTGGCCAGTGGCTGAAATAGATAAGCCATATGTCTGCACACCCCTGAATGTGGGACAGAAATAATTACGTGATACTCCCGCTGATAGTAATCCTCCTATTATCATCACCAGAAATGACAGTTTTTCACTGGATGTATGTTTTCGACGGAATGCGTCACGAGAAAATTGATCCTCTGTGGAAGTTTTTGTTTCGTAAGGAAAATGCAAACAAAACGCCGTTGCAACGCTGTGGTGGTGGCTGGGCTCGAAGGCCAGCTGGGCTGGGTGGCGGGGCGGGCTCTCTGCCCAGGGCTCGCGGCGAGCTGGAGCCCGCCCGGGGCGAGGGCTGGC